ATAACAACCGACCATAATCAGCGATAACTAAATTCCTAGATCTCCAAAATAGGCTGAGGCTCATCACGCACTACTAGGAACTAATTAATACATAATGTTTCTGTAACCAATCTTTTCGCAAATGTTTGAATAAAATTTAATAATTTTCAATCTCCAGACAAACTTTCACTGCAGAATGGCTTTCTTTATTCATAATTTACTGCAACCATCCGAAGTTACCGAGCAATCGTCATCAGTTAGGTTTGATTTCATTGTCCTCTTTTTTTTTCAACTTTTTCAATGAAATGGAGTCATTCTTTGATTTTCTTTAAAACTTTAAATATTCATCAGAATCCCACTAATAGCTATAAAGTTCATATGCTGTATTATTTACTTATGAAATAAAAGTTGTTATACTGCCGTTCTTTAACCAGAAATCATTAAAACTATGAGTGGACTGGCAAAAAGGAAACTTTGTTTTAGTGAACTGAAAGTAGAAACTTTCAAAGAAATAATTTCAAAGAATAAAATAAAATAGGATTACTTCTTGACCTCCTTTACTTGACTTCCATGATGATAAATAAATATTTCGAAGAGAATCTGTGTGTAAATTGGTTTCAAGCTTCATTAAATGTCCATATATCATGAATCTGCTGGAAATTTCTCCAATATCTTATCAATACTTAGGAAAACACATTATGATCATAATCTTTTATTTTAAATACTACACATTTCTTAAATCTTGATGTTTGGGCAATTTTCATACTGTATATTTTCTGCTATTTTATTCAATATGGTGATGCTCAAAAAAATTTTTTTAATTCTGATTAAATTTTAAATTTTAAGCAATGTTGGGATTCTGTTTAAACTCGAATTATAAAGCACCAAAAGTTAATAAAACTAATTTTTTTGAATCTTTAAAAGTAAATTATTGATATTTTGCACATCACTTTCAGCTCTCCCACTCGGAAAGTTTTTTAGTCTTGTAAAATTAAATTGCTTCTTGTAAAATTTTGTTTATAGGGACACTCTGAACGAAACAGGATTTTGTGACAAGACATTTGTATCATGCAAAAGTCTACAGCTTACAGCGTGTCCGACTAATTTTATGGACTCCTTTAGTTCTCCAGAGTGGTACCAAGCAGCTAACTACATTAGCATGGCTACTCAACATATTGGATATCAAATTACTCGTACAAACAGCGAGCATTATCCAGTAATCATCGGTGCGTGTTTTGAAATATTTTTGTCTATTCCGATTATAAGAAATTTTTGACAGTATTAGGATTACATTGACCTGATTTGAAAGTGAACAAATTTTTACAACGACTTTTCTCTGAGAAATTTCCGAAATTATCAATGGAGAAAAAAGCTGCTTGATTATTACTAATAATTTATTTTATTGCTATGATATGTTTTCGCAAATATAAAAGTTTATATGCAAAAATCTATATAATAAGTAGATTTTTGTATTGATTGCTCTGAATCTAAGCAAAACATTTTCGTCCTAAAACTTTATCAGATTCATACTTAAGATCCAAATTCAAGATCTAACGAGCAATAAGGCATTTCTTCCAAGTTACAATCGGCATCATTATCTTAGCTATTTCAAATTAATATAAAATTATTATTGCTCATTCTCCTTAGTAACCTCATTTAAAAATCAATTATAAAATTCGGTAATGTATCTGTGGCTGAAAAATAGTCCGATATTGTGTAAACATTAATTCATCAACTACATTATTTGGATGTAAAAGTAAAGATGATTTGTTATCTTTGGATGGAATTTTAATCGAGGATTAAGTTTTTGTGGTAAATTCCTGTGAGAAAGTTCGGAAGGACGACAGTTAATTATTCGATTATACGGTTTTCATTTTGTGGAACCAGTAATCTTTCGAAATTCTATTCCCACCCCTTTCTTCTCTCCATAGCTCTTTTCGCCACCTTATTCCTATTACTGGCTTTACGATGTTTGTTTAACATAGATGCGGGAAGCTTTTGATGCGGACGATACGACATTGTTCTGATTTGTTCCATCCTTATTCTAATTAGCTTTTTCTTTATCTTTTTTCCACACTTAAGAATTTGACCGAAATAATTATACGAAATGAAAGGAAATAAAGGATATATGGGGAGGAGAAGTTGAAGAGGATAACGATAGACCACTGGTAAACAGATTTAGTTTGTTAATTAGTGAAGAGGCATTTGCAAACACTTTAAACATATTCAAATATCCATGTAACGAATTCTTCCCAAACTGTAATAGCAACATTCATCCCTAATAGCAACCTCCTGATGGAAATAATAGGATTCCGAGAAAGAGCATAGTGACGTAAGATAATGAAATTAGTATGCCATTTGCTTCTTGTGGAAGTAGTTATAAACTGGATATTTGAAGTTATAACCATTTTCAGGATGGGATTCACGACTGCCTTGGTCGCAACCTTACACAGAGAAATCGCAACATAAACGGAAAGGTGGTCAAATTCGATTTACGAATGAACAAACGGATGCACTCGAACAAAAATTTGATAACCATAAGTATTTGTCATCACAGGAACGGAAGAAATTAGCAAGAAATTTACAACTTTCTGAAAGACAGGTTTTTTATATAAACTTTTTGAGATTTCTTCAGAGTTTCAAAACCATAAATTTATTTATTTGCTTCTTTGCAATAAGTTTGCAGACAAAGATTTCTCATTATTTCGCATTGCTCATATCGATCTTTTGTTCTTGTTGGAAACTATGAATAGTATCCGGATGAGTACTATTCAATCATCTTATTTTCATTGACTAATCATTTATCATCTTCTTTACATTGTCGGTTTACTCTTTTATTTCTCGATAATTTCCTATAAAATGAAATCTTTGTCTCATAGATATTCATAAGAATGGAAGAAAAAAACGGAATTTCGATTTTGAATTGCAAGAGTTAAAATGATTTCAGGTTAAAACGTGGTTTCAAAACCGACGGGCTAAATGGCGCAGAATCCGTAAAGACGAAGAAGAAATTCGTCCTGATGATATAATTTACCCAATACCACAGCAACTTGTCCATTATGGTCATCAACAGTACTGCTCGACCTTTAAAACTCAAATGTGATATTGAAAATTGATTCAGATTACTGTATTCCTAGCTTATGCTCTTAATATGCGACACTTTCAACACATTGCTACAAAGTCAAATTCTTTAATTTTCATCGCAGTACCGTATCATTTCATTAGCAGAATATGCTATTACACTATCGTCAGTCACCTCACAGTAACTTCCAGCAATCATCTGATGACACATCGCACTTGATCATAGTCATAGTGTTGATGTGACAAATTTGAATATTACCATGGTAAAATTTGCAAATATGACTCCGACTTTAACAACTTCCACTGTTATCTTTTAAATTTTATTGAATTTATTGGGTTATTCGTATGTGTTACCAGAAAAATTATATATTCGCTTTGTTCTTTAATAAATTATATGGCTAAGTACCCATTTGATTTTACTGTAATGAACAACACAAATGCTTGTTGGATAATGATAATTTGCTCATATCCTTATCTGAGATAGAATTGTACAACTATTTAAAATAGGAGTAAACTGCTTAATATTTTTGAGGAAAAATCATTCCTAAAAAATTCGGAGTCATTTTTTGGAAAAATTAGTTATTAGAATGCGGAAAGTAATTTTTATGGGGAACTTTGCATAAAAGTGGTAGATGTTAACATGACTTCGACCTCGCTGTTTAAAGCTTCAAAGAGATCAAAATAAAATTGAAGAGTTATTCTTATGATTCAAACTCATTCTGCTCCCAGCGATTCAGCTTTATAACTGCTGTTTAATTGCTTGTAATTTAGATTGTCTTCAATAAAAGGAAAAACTTTTAAAACCGTCAGTTGTACTTTTCAAATTTTCGAATCAGCGTTTTTTTTTTCTTTCGATGTTTATTCAGGAACTTTGGGATATAATTTATTGAATGGTTCTTATTGCGTCCAAGAATTTATAAAACACGAGACCAAACTTCATAACTTGCAAACATATTGATTAAAATTTCGTATTACAATTTCTTTTTTTTTGCTCGGCATGAGGAGCAATCAATAAAAGAAATTACACTCAAATAAAAATCCCGGTAAATACTAGTAATTAATCAGTAATACTTATCAATTGTATAAGCAATGTTTCCGGCGAATGAATCTTGCTGAATCTTGCTATAATCCACACTAGTCCTTGATTTCTTCTGATCATTTAAGCTAACTATCAATAATTTTTGAATACTTTTCATCTACTTATATTCAAAATTTGATTACGATTTGTTCATTCAAATAAAAAAACTTCGATAAATTTACTTACTCGATTATGTAGTACGAAATACTATAAAATACTTCAAAACATGGGTTTCTTGGCCTAATTTGCATAACAGCGTTTATTTCTGTCCTTTTTAATGAATAGCTGAAATTGATTATTGTTAAAACTACAAAATACGATGCGTTGCATTTGGAATAGTGTCGAATGACAACAATATTAATTGAAATATAAAAAATATCGAATTTACAGATTTGTGTGAGTGTATGTGTGCACGTAGTGCACACGGCTATTCAGAATGTGTTTTATGAACGGCTGTCCTCAGGAAGAGGGTGACAGAGCTGAGCAATTGCACGATGGGTGTTATTCTAACTTTCATGTCTCTGAGTCTTATCCGTAGTGCCTGCTAACTTTGGAGATTTTCCTCTCTTCAAAATGTCTATCTTGCATATTTTTAGTGTGGAAAAGTTGAAGAATCGAGAACATTCGGAAAAAGTGTTATAGAGCAATATGCTGGCACCTATCATTACGAAGGATATGAATCCATTTTCATCCCAGCCTCGAAAAGCCCGTGATGTTCAGATACGCTCCCAAAATTTGGAAGTTTCCAAGATTACCAGATGTGTAAACCAGAATCAGGACAACATCACAGAAAAGTCATCTCAGCCATCGATGAAGCTTAAGTCTACATTCGTTCACAGTAGTTCCCTGAGTAAGCCCCATCTTTTGCCTTCTATTGTGGAAGGTGTTGAGATGCGACTAAATTTAGAGATGTATCGGAAATATCACAGTATTGAGGAAGGTGATAACATTGATTCCAGAGGTACTTTATTGCCTACTACTTCCAATTCCACATTATTAACGATTACGACAACGACAACGGCAGTTGCTGCTACTTCGGCATATTCATCATTTCCGGATTCATCGTTATCACCCATCATTGGTAAAAGAAGAAAGGTGAAAAAGATTCAATGAAGAAATAAAAATAGCAAAATTGAAAATAAGGTGTTGCAAAGTTCCTTAATAACTCCCCACTAAAGTCAAGAGTATTAAATGAAGGAGAAATACTTTAATTTGAATAATTTCGAAAATTCTTATTTCTACTACGTCAACTTTAAACACTCTATTTTGATTATTTACCGTTTATTCACTATTGAGCGATATTATTATCTTAACCTTATGGTTCTTGGAGATTAACCACTTCGAGCTTCACCCATTTGTTAAATTTTCTTTTGTGGTACATCCTTTAAAACTCTAATGTATAGTCTGCACAGATTCGTTTTAAAAAATTTGCTTCATAATCTTGTTCTACTAAAGCATGTAAGTTTCAATACTTCTTATTGGGGTAGTCAACTGAATATTCTTTTATCAATCGTTCTTGACTATTTAAAAAATTACTTCCCCTTCTATTCTTTCTTTTGCCATTTAGCTATAAGCTAGGCAATTTAAACTCTTTGGCAACTTTTTCTTAGAAAAAAACAAATTTCTTGGAGACTCACTAACCAACACTGTGGAAAAATTGCGAAGCAACAGCAAATTGATACATACATTGTGTATTTTGCTAAGACGAGACGAATATTGCTCTCGATTGTTTTGCTGCACTTTTATTCATGAGCTGATCAATCATTTTCGTCGTTTTCTGGCAGGAAATAATTAATTTACTCAGGAATAACAGTATTTCTGAACACTTAACAATTAGTTCTCAAGTGTTTGTATCAATTATCAAATTCGCCAAGACCGCCTGATCATTGTCAAATTATTTCTTTCCTGATAGCTGCATGATTTAAGGATCGAAAGAACATTTTAAATATGCCTATATTGTTAGTTGTTAATTGTTTCGCCAAACATTTTCCGATTTTTGCGATCTTAATGATGCACTCTATCCTTTCCAACCGACATCAATGAGTTATATGGTTTTTTTTGAAGCCTGCGGAAAATTCATTCCGCTCTTCTCAGTGTTGGTCATCCTTTTCTATTGACCTTTTTCACATTAATTTTATGAAAACTACGCAAAACTGCTAAGTTAACTTTTGAATTACTAAAGTGGGAAATCAAGAAATGCGTACTCTATAGTTGTGTCGGAGTGCAAAAATCTTAAAAACTTTAGTTTGTTGCTCATCATAAAATTTAGCAATCTGGAGTATATTGAAATATTGGCCTGTTGTTTCAAGTATACTTTTTAGCGATGTAAGTGTTGTGATGTATTACATTTAAATTGCAGTTGATTAAAGCTTATGACATCCATTATTTTCTTAGCAAGAAGATAAAGGCAAGCACATGAATATTTCTCATAATTTAAACAAATTTACGAAACTTATAGATTTAGGATTTCAGTTTATATCACAATCATAAGGATGGAAAGATAATTTTTTAATTTTTATCCAGCATTTATAAGTGAAAAATATTTGAATAGCTCTTTGAAAGAATGATTTTGATGATATATAAAGAATGGAAAAATTAATTGACTTGAATTGGTTTTCAGGTAATTTGTTTAAAACGATTTTTGTACTACGCGTAAAAAGACGGCTATTTTATTTTAGATTCTCTAATAGAACTAAATAAGAAAGGTAGATTTAATTTTTCGCTTTTTCCTATTTCCTTCTTCGTAACAGTAAATTTATTGCAGCATTTATTTATCGTAATTTTTGCTGTTTTCGAATTAAAGACAGATCACTCCCAATGTTATTCGTTTCATTTTTCGCATTTTAATAATTTTAGAATAATATTCAGAGAAATTCCAATTCTTTTAAATTTTTCAACTATACGCTTTTAAATCTTTTTCTTCTCAAATTCTAATATGCCTCTTCC